TGGACTCCCCTTCCCTCTGGACAATGCCGATGAGGCTTTCTTGGGTCCTTGGGCACGTCTTGCTGGAGACAAAACCGTTGCTAAACGTGTCATTAGTAGTAGACCGTATGAGCACTTGTAGCAATGGTTTTGATCTAAAACTGTTGCTATTTCTAACTATTCATACACATTTAGCCACAAACAGACCCGTTGCTATCTTAAATTTTAGCAACGGTACATAATACAACCGTTGCTATTGCTAACTATTTATACACATTTAGCCACAGACAAACCTGTTGCTATCTCGATTTGTAGCAACGATACATTATAATACCGTTGTAAAAAATGTTGCGATTGGCAACGGTTAAAACCATGGTTATATGTATACTTTTAACCACAGTGTACAATATCCGTTGCTATAACTTTTAGCCATGGCAATATCCCCTACGGACAAAAAACTGTTGCTAAACCGTTGTTATAACTTTTAGCAACAGTTTTTAGGGGTTTTAGCAACGGTTTTGTCCATTGCTAAAACTGATTTTTCTTGTAGTGACATCAAATGCCCCCCAAAGATAAAGACTTTTCTCTTTTTCCTTCTCAACAATAGGCTTCCTACTAAAAGCCATATAAGGAAAAGAGGATATAACATTGATGGCTCTTGTAGCTTTTGTGGGGATGAGGAGGATACTGGTCATATTTTTAAAAATTGTGCCCACACAAAGCAAATGTGGCTTACCTTAAACACTTCCCTATAGGGACCAAATGAGAATGAAAATTTAGGTGATTGATGGACAAGGGTCAACAATAAAAAGGAAAACAGGATTCTTTTAGTAAAGGAAAAACTAGCTTTTATTCTTTGGGCTGTCTGAAATAATAGGAACTTAAAAACTTCCAATAATGTTTCAACTCCCTTTCCAATTATTTTGGAACGGGCTCTTGATATGTTTTTGGAGTTTCTTGATGGGAGCAAAGATAAAGACATTGCTTGAATGAACAAAGTGTGGAAACCAATTTTTTGGAGTGCTCCAAAATTTGGCACTATTAAAATAAATTTTGATGCCTCTCGTAACAGTGATGGAAGATGTTTTGTGGCTAGTATTGTTTGTGATCATCTTGGTCGGGTGCTAGCGGTTAAAGCATATAAACTTGACACTTGTACCATCAACTAAGCGGAAGCATGGGCTGCATGGGAAGCACATATTCAAGCGACAAACTATAGGGCACATCCTATTGTAATCGAGGGTGATTCATTATTAGTTATCTCGTGCTTCAACAAAAAAGTGGAAGTTCCTTGGAATTTGAAAGGTATCATCTCTTGCTGCTTGAGGAGGAGAGTTCTGTTCGAGGGAGGTCTTCGGTATGGACATATTTTCAGATAAGCTAACCAGGCGGCAGACTGGCTTGCTCATGAAGCTCTTTCTTCTTCTACCCCTTCCGTAGATTTTTGTATTAACTCCCTTCCCCCTTCCCTTCTTCTTATTTGTTTTGCAGATTTTTGGGGACATACTACCCCCGTTGTGTGTAGTACACTTCTTCGCTTTTCAAAAACAGTGGGAGTGACCTTTGTCCCCTAATTCCAATCCAATTCACATAGTGCTCTCTACTTAATAGCAAAGCTTCCCTGCTTCAAACTAGTCTTTTAATCAAACGCTTTCACATCCGTGCTTCTCTCTCTCCCTCTCAAGAAAATTAAAAAGGAAAATAGGAAAAGCAACTAACGACTTAGCGGCTTTCTTTCTATCTCTAGAGCTAAAAATCCTTGGAGAAGGAAGAGATTATGTTGGGAATGAGGTGGCGCTAGTGAAAGTTAAGCTCAACTTGGAGAATGAAGTTAGAGATGGGAATGCAATTTGATTTGGTGGTTTCTAGGGAGATTTGGAGGTATTTTTTGTGGCGATCCTTGTGTTTATGGGTAGGGTTGGCAATCTTAACCCTAACCCATTTGACCCACCCAACCACCCCACCTTGGAACCCACCCAAACCCACCCAATTTATTGGTGGGTCAATATGGGTCGAGTAACCCATTAGGGCCAATAGAAAAGGGTTAGGGTGGGTTGGGTCGAGAGTACCCATTAGGGTCAAGATGGGTTGGGTTGCATGGGTCAAAATGGGTGGGGTCACGTGGGTCAAAGTCAACTATACTTACCAAATCTCAAAAAATAGAAATTGTAGTGATTCGATCTCACGCTATCTAAGGTGGCCACATCTCTTTAAACTTCCAAACCACCATGTCACATTTCATTTTATAATTAAAAGTGAAATAAAATAGATTTTATTAACTTACGTGTTCACATGCAATTTTATACAAAAGCACTTTCACAAAAGCAATTTTATGAAAAGGACTTACGAAAGCACTTTTATAAAAGTACTTTTACGAAAATACTTTTACACGAAAGCACTTTTATAAAAGTACTGTTTTGAAAACACTTCTATGAAAACACAAAAGCACTTTTATGAAAGCACTTTTACAAAAGTACTTTTACATGAAAGCACTTTTATTAAATTACTTTTACACGAAAGTACTTTTATTAAAGTACTTTTATGAAAGCATAAAATCATTTTTATAAAAGTACTTTTATAAAAGCACTTTTACACAAAGCAGTTTTATAAAAGTACTTTTACTGAAGCACTTTTATGAAAGCATAAAAGCACTTTTATAAAAGTGCTTTTGCAAAAGTACTTTTATGAAAGCACTTTTATAAAAGTGCTTTTGTGAAAGTACTTTTATGAAAGCACTTTTACAAAAGTACTTTTGTAGAAGTACTTTCATAAAAGTTTTGCATTATTTTTCAATTTTTTTGTTATTTTCTACATTTTTTTGCAATGTTTTGGTATTTTTCTACATTTTCTAATTTTTTTTGGTATTTTCTGCATTTTTTACAATTTTTTGGTGCTTTTTTACATATTCTTTTGCGTATTTTCCAATTTTTTCTACAAAAGTTCTGAATTTTCTGTAATTTTTTTAGTTTTTTTGTATTTTCTGGTATTTTTATATTTTTCTATTTCTTTTGGTTTTTTTGCATATTTTGCATTTATCTACAATTTTTTCATTTTTGAGTATACGAGTTGACCTGACTCATTTTTGTCACGTGGCAGTCTTGAGAGAGATTATTCTCTCAGAATTTATTATTTTGGGTATACGGGGCATCTCGACCCTTTTTTGTATTTATAAGTGAGGGTAGGTGGATTAGTATGGGTGAGGGTGGTTAAAGGTCGATATGGATGGATTAATTGGGTCAATATGGGTGGGTCAGGGTGGGATAGGGTTAGGGTGGGTTATGACCCTTTAACAAGGATTGATGATGGGTCATGGTGTGTTGGTGGGTCAATATGGGTGGGTTGGTATTCAACCCTTACCCAACCCAACCAACCCACCCATTTGCCACATGGGGCTTTTGTGTTGAGTTTCATTTTTTTTACTTGCCTTTTGCAAACAAGGATCGAGAATTAAGGGAGGCTAAGACGAAGATCAAGGCATTGGAATTGTCAGAACGACTGAGTGAAAAGGCCGTTGAAGAGGTTGCAATCAAGCTTTTGAATATGTTTAAGCATTGAAATCTTGGTTTTCAAAACCAGATTGGACCAAACAATCAAACCAGAAAAGCCAAGAAGACTGGTTACATTTTATCGCAAAACCGTTGATTTGGTCAACAAACCGCTGACCCAGGTGGTCAAACCATTTACTATTCAACAGTTTGGCTGCTTTTTTTAATTTTTTAATTTTTGTCGGAACAAGCCATCTGTTTGATTTGAACGGTTGGACAGTTCAACCCAGGAACTGGACCCCTAGCTCTGGTTCATTATCCGGTTCGGTTTTAAAAACCTTGATTGAAATTGTCCAACAAGTGCAAGCAATTCTGCAACCAAGATGTTGAATCTGAAGAGTCATAAGGGCATCCAATGATGACGACAACATAGCAAAGTAGAGAGAGAAAGAAAGCCAACAAATGAAAAAGCTAAAAATAGAGAAGAAGAGGGGTTTCAAATTCATATGTTGAATCTGAAGAGGAGTGCAGCGATCGACAAAGGAAAAGCCGGTCTGGATTCCGACAAAGCCAAGAAGCTTAGGGTGGGAAGGAAGAAGACGAAGAGAGGAGGGGTTTCAGATTCATACATTGAATCCGAAGAGTGGTGTGGCGATCGTCGGAGGAGAAGATGGTCTGAATTCCGATCAAGCCAAGAAGCTTGGGATGGACGACAAGGCCATCATTGTCACTAAACTTGCAAGAACTGAATGATAAGGTGTCTTTCGCGTGACCACAATGAAAGATGGGGAGTGATTTGGGGTAAGAAAGAACAAATACAGGGAAGAATAAGGGTATTTCATGAATTTTAACAAAATTATCAATCAGGTTGTCACATGTGAACGAAATGTGACAAAAGGTTAATGCCTTAATGGCAAAGAAGGTTTTACACAATTATCATATACAGTAGGAATGTTATTCAATTAACTAAACCATAACACTAATTTAAGAAATTTACTTAAAATTTCTACTTCTATTTTGCATAAAAAGGCCTATGAATCACACGGATCCCGACTAATTTCGAAGAGAATACAAAAAAGATGGATAGGTGGGTTGGGATCCTCTTAATATTATCTTTCTGGTTCCTGCAATGCATAAAGAACATAAATCCACCATTTCTGACTTTTTCCCGCAACGCATAGGGGTAATTACTTGCTGCACTGTTACGGCATAAGGGTCATTGTTTGGGTTCAAGTATTGAACAGCCGATCTGAAGCAACATGTCAAATGAAACTTGTCTACACTACAGGAAGATCATGTAAAGGATAAATCTATGATGTCGGAAATGCAGGATAAAAGATTGACCAATCAAAACTCTCGTCAATTTCGATGAATGCCCACCTGATTACCACCATTATGACAGTTGATTAATTATAAGATTTTTCCGGTTTCACAGTCGAACCTTGACAACATTTTCTTTAAACTTGTCATCATTTTTTTTTATCTGTCTCTGAATTTCATCTAAAAAATGAAAGATTAACTTTAAAAAGAACAAAAGTTCTAGACATGCTAAACTAATATGGGGCAGATGGCAATTTCTTATTAGTCAAGAAGTGCTTAATCAACTGCAGAGATCTTTTCGGCACAAATGTTGGAACTTGATGACCAGCACCTCTCAAAGTAACAAATGTCAGCCCATCGTAGATGATTGTCCATCCACCAACCTAAGTACCAAGTTGAAAAGTCAAAATTAAATTAAAAAGTTTCAAATGTACCCATATTAGTGCACAACATGAGTAGTAGGAAAAAAAAAGAAAAAAATCAATGTAAAATTGAAGGTTCGGTGACATATTAAAGAAAGAGTAAAATAGGAAAGATAGAACAATTCCCATAATCAGTTTGGACCATTCCTGATGATGAAAATGAATAAGAAAGAAATGGAAATATAAACAAAAACGAAAAATGATTATACAATATTACCTGATTGTTGTTGTACCAGGGAGCCCATTCTTCAGTAGTGTTCAATCCAAGCTTTCTCAATGTGTACCTTGTTGATGTTACCGGGATTCTACCGTCGGTATCTCCACTGCAAATTTATTTTAAATTAAATTGCAATGTACATGCATTTTAAAGAAAGAGATTAATTAAAATTTCAATTTAATGTGATAAATTTATTTCAAGTCCGTGAATTCCAAAGTATTTGAAAGAAAAATTACCTATACACCCAAATGCGTAAACCTCCTGCTATGAGTTTCTTAATAATGGGAAGGATGGAGGCCGGTGCATCGCTCCAAAAGGTGATTACATCACTGTTTACAAAAGAAACAAAATTGTAAGTTCAGACTAAATATGACCAGAAAGCTCATCATGGTTTTAATGGTTTAACTGACAGCTAGATCACTGGTCGCCCTTTTCCGGTCACTGAAACCTTAGATTATGATATAGGAAAGATAGGATATCTGAAAATTTTTTGATCAGCTGCTATTATAAACATGGTAGCCAATTACAGGTCATTTATCAAAATTCATGAGTGGGTTTTGATTGGTCATAACTCTTTTTTTGGGGATTTTAAACTGTACTCCACCTCAGAATTTAGATTTGAACTGTAGACCTACAACAAATCAAATTTATAAACACCTCAATCTATAACACTCATACCTGGTCATGAATTAGCATCAATTCCGAACTGGCACCTACCCCCCCAATTGTACAATGGAGCTAGGATTTTAGAGGTGGACTGAATGGTAAAAACCCTTTTTTTACTTAATTGATAAAAAATTCTTCTGATACCATATCTTTTCCATATCATATATTTTCCCTTTACTAGGTTTTAGACCTACAAAAAGTTGACTCAACCCGCAAACCCAACCTAACCTGACCTGAAAAAAATAGGGTTAGGGTCTTATATTTAGATAACTGAATTTGAGAATGAGCCGACCCAACCAAACTCAGAAAAAACTGGGTTGGGTTGGGATGGATCATGGGTCAACCTGTCAACCCGATTTTTAGGTCTTATTGGGACTATTTATGTATTGTTAGAATCTTTCTCTCTTTCATCTTTATCATTTAGTCTTTACTCATTATTGTTTACTCTTTGAATTGTTGAATGTTCAAGTTCTTTTATTTTATTTTTGGAATTTTAAGATTAAATCCTTTAATTTTAACATTTTTAAAATTTCTATTATTTTTAGGGATGACCCAAATTGACCCATGGGTCAACCCTAACCCGAACATTTAGGGTTAGGGTCTAACATGTGCTGACCCAACCCAAAATTCAACCCAGCCCGAAATCAACCCGCAAAGTGTTGACCCAACCCATCCAACCCAATTGCCAAGTCTACTAGGTTCTATATGAGCGCCCTTCTAGGGCGACCGAGTTAGGATATGAGATATCAGAGTCAACTCGTTAGGTCAGGACTCAGAAGAAAGATCAAAACTCTACCTGCAGTGAGTCCATGGATAAGGAATGTTGGTAATATTAGCATGAAGAGCTTCTTGCACGTCCCGCCGGTTGAAATAAACCTCAGAGTAGAGCGACACACATGGGTCATAACCGGCTGGTTTCTTATGCCATGGATCCTGAAAGAAAGCAAGAGTTAGGAATGAACTATTTGAGCAATTAATTACTTTATATACAGAGAAATGTTGGATCCAGTAGGCCGTCTGTAACTCACAAATTTAGAGAAAGACTTTGGAGCAATTCCTTCGATCCTGCGACGCTGTTTGTTGGTTGTCTTAGTATTGACACAGGTAGGAGCATACAAGCTGTACATGTCAATAATGTCGTAAACAGCAAAGTATTCGTTCAGGGCATTATTGCATTCGTTGCTCTGATCGGAATTGCTGAAGTTGCAGTAAGTCTTAACGTCCTGGTACACTCGATCAGAGATCACGGCGTGATCCCAAGCATAATCGATCATTCCAGTCTGGTCTGTATCATCATCCAGTAACGCATTGCCAATCTGCATGATAGAGTTTGTTTATGCATGACCATGTTTTTAATCAGTAACCTTATTATTTAGGGCTGAGAACGGGTCAGGCAATCAAGGAGAATATAGTTAGATCCCAATTTAATTTGTTGAAATTCGGATTTGATGACTTTAGTGATATTCGTATTTGAATATCTTAATAAATAAATTTGAAATTATCAGTCACATAATTAGGATACCAGCCGGAAAAAAAAAACTTTAACCAATCAACCGGTATTACCCCAATTACATCACCCTATATTAATTAAAAGGGTTCAACTATGATGCTGGAAAGATATAATATCAAAAAGATTTACAATTAATCAAGCAGAATCATAAAAATAAGAGATTTTTGAACTGCATTCCCCTTCAGAAATCTTTTTTGCAGCCCCCTCCTAGTCTATTAGTAACTCCCCCCTATAAATCACATCCTGTCCGTGAAATTGACATCAATCCACAGGCAGGATTCAGTCCACCCCTAAATGGAATTAGGATTTACTAGGGATGGGCTGAATCATAAAAAACCCCTAAAAATAATAACCAATTGGGTGGGTTTTCATCAAATTCACAGGGGTTGTGATTGGTCGAAAGCTTTCCTGTATCATATCCTTTACTTATGATAGATTTTTCCCCAATTAAAAATTACAGGTGAAGGGGATATTGATTGGTCAAAGCTCTTCTAATATCATACCTTTGCGGCATCCTTTATTTATCCATATGATTTATACAATGAACTAAACTAACTGTTCACTATAAAGCTCAAATGCTTGCCGCAAGTTATAAAAGTTAAATACAAATCCCATATCTCATATACCGTTATTATTTACTTACACACATGGATATATTTTTTACTATAAGTCAATATTATATGTGTTTTAATGATAATTAATAAAGCAGTAGTTTAATACTGTTTGTTAAGTCTTGCGGCTGATCTAATCTGGTAATTTATATCTGCAACTCATGAAAATCAAGACAAGCTCCTAGTTGAAACTCATGCTTTAAAGCCTAGCTCACACGTCATATTTTACTTCAGTAGAGTCTAAGAAGAGAAAGGAATGAACAAGAATTCAAGTAAGATGGCTGGCATAAGTTCCAAATTAAGTGGTAAATTCTAGGAGTCATGTATAAGAAATTCACATTTACTTGGGCTCAATCTAGGAAATTTATCATTTAAAAATGGTTAACCCTAATTAAAAGTGGTTTGAATTGGTTAAAGATTTACCTGGGCCCAATATTATGTGTCGTTTTGATTCGTTAACCGGACATGAGTCTAATCAAGAGGCTTTAACCTTATTTGAAACGAGAAAAAGAGGGAAATAGCTTTTCAAAAATGGATGAAGAAGAAAAAAGTAGTTTTGAACAGAGAGTTAGAAGCTTCCCAAAAAAAGTGAGAAATCTGATAAGTAAAAGAATATATTGGCAAATCCTTGGAAGAACTTTGGTTGAAGAAATCAAGGAAGAATGGAATTTGTACTGGTCAAAACATTTATTAGCAATCGTTTTTCAGACCTAGCTCCCTTGAAAGGAGTTCCTTCTCACTGATCTCTAACTAGTTATATCTCTTCCTATGGATGATTCATCTATGAGGGATTCCTTACCTGAATCTTTTGGTCATTTATTATTTCTTTCTTGATAAATCATTTGAGCTAAATCTATGCTTTTCAAATCATTTGAATTGCAACTTTCTAGAAAGCATCGGCTTAATTTAAGTTTTCCTTGGCCATTTGATTTATGGGCCATTTGGCAAGTTTTTTTGGGAAATCTTCTGGTATTTCTGACAGTCAAAAGATGCATTGAGCTTTTGCATGAAGATCTGAACAATCGAAGTTAGTTTGGCTATCGTGCACCTTTTTTGTGTCTTTCTGCAAGAGAATAAAGCAGAAAGATGCAAAAAACTCAATTTGGAGCTTCCTGACATCAGCCCAAAATGGGTTTTTCACATCTTTTCAGTGCACCAACTTTTGACGGCTAGATCTGTTATGAACCAAACAGAAAAAGACCATGGTGCCGTTTGTCCAACTTATAAACAACCGAAAGACCACGCAGATAGATGCACAAAATGGGGCCTTAGTTTTCTATAAAGCTTGTGCTCATATTGGTATTTGAATGAGAAATACTTGTTTACTTTCAAAAGACTTGTGCTATTAATGGTTATTGCCTTAAGAAAGGTTTTTAAGTCTTGATAGAGCTAGATGAGCTTTGATTTGCTAAACCTTTGGGAATTTTCCCAAAGAATCATTTTGAAAATCAATTAAGAAATCTTTCTTGCGTTTTATTGGTTAAATCTCTGAAAATTTTATTGAGCCTCATTTGATGATTTTACTAAAATTTCTTGTGAACTTTTCTTTAGAATTTAGGTCATGTTTGGTTTGAAGGAAAAGGTAGGAACTTCAAGCCAAACACAACCTTATTGAAATGTATTTCTCTGTTTATTGAGCCCTTGTATTGGCAAATTTGTTATATACATTTGCATCAGGACCTAATCCTCTAAGTTCCTTGAGCTCTTGCTCATACGATGGATTGACACCATATCAATTAGTCAAAGTGTGGCTAACACCATATCAACCAATCGGGGGTACGACTAGCACCGTATCAACCAACTAGGGTGTAATTTTCACCATATCAATAATTAGACGAGTGTGGCTAACACCATATCAACCAATCGGGGGTATGACTAACACTGTATCAACCAATTATTTTAAGGGTTTGATTGGTATTTTTAAACTATATAATTATGATTAGTGGATTAAAATTCCTAAGTTTGGGAAGTGGGTGTAAGCTTGAGATTGGCCAAACCACTATCTATTCTAGTGTCTTATATTATTGTATACTCTCTTTTATTCATACTTTTTGCCGTGTTTTCACTTGAGTATATTAATTGACACACACTTGGCACTTGTATTAAATTCGGAAGGCAATGATTCAGCTTTCAAGGTGAACAAGTTTATTGGAACTCTATTTAATCAATTAAGCATCTTTGGTGTGTTATAAATTTCTGAATTATCCATTAATAAGCTTGCAAAAATGTTATTAAATCAATTTATCACTAGGTTGGATTAAGGACCATATTATTAAATCTTCATTCTAAGAAGTTACAAAAAGCAACCTCTTTGTTAATAAGAATGTGAAAATTTGGTGAGAAAAGTTTGTAAGGGATATCACCCTAGGTGGTGTGAATTAAATATTTTGAAACGCATTGGAATAAATCAATCCATTGGTAGAATGCTTACCATGAAGCCTTTGAGATTTATATAGTTCTCCATTGCAGATTTCTTGTTTGCATCATAAATTACCTCGGCAAGCTGAGGGACATAGTGACCTAAAGTTTGGACAAAAGTTTACCTCTTGTAATGTAGATATATACTTGTATAGAAAGCATTGGATGAGAAGCCCTAAACTCATTTGTATACTTAGATTCATACCTGCATAGCTTTCACCTGCAATGTAGAAGTCATGGGATTTGTACTGTGGGAACCTTTGAAACCAGTTGACAAGAAACATGTACGAATCCTTTGCTGAAACACAAGATACATGGTAATTCATATATAAATATAAAGGAAGAAAGACAGCATAATCAAGTAAGAATAAATGTATGGAAATTACCAGTCACTGTATCCCCAAGTTCATTTATGTCACTACTTCTATTCGAATAAGAAAACCCAACTCCGACAGGCGATTCAAGGAATAACAAATTTGCAGCTGAGACACGAGAAAGTGTTAACAAGAATGAAGATTCGGATCTATCAAAATACATAAATAAAAAAAGAATGAAGATTAGGGATTTAAGAAGTAGCTATGTGGAGAAAAATTCTTGGCCAAACAAATGGGTCAAATGCATCGAATCTCAAGAGATGAGTATTGAGAATAATGAAGAATAAACTAGAGCACATGTTGTTCAATTATTATACAACTCTTTACAAAAGGATTTTGAATATAGAGCACATGGAGTTCAATTATTAATAGTATTAATTAGAAGCGTAGTAGTTAGAGAAGGTTGCATCATATATGTACTTGCCTTTGTTCCAAGTGTATTTGTTGAATCTGAGCTCTGGGGTACCCTTTTGGATCAAGAATGGTCCTAACTCTTCTGCCTCTCCATACCCTAGAGAAGAGCATCCTGGACCTGAAATATTAACACATCAATGAGGACTAATCTGATGTAAACAATTCACTGATAGGTCAAACTTCTGGAAACTATGGAGAGTTGGGATGGCCTTATAAATACATTGGCTCCACTCCACAAGTCTGTGTTTGGTTTGATAAAAGAGAGAGAGAGAGAGATGAAACAGAAAACTGAGGGAAAGTTCTTGAAGGAATTTTGTGAACTTCTTCCTTAAGAACTTTCCTTCAGCTTTCTGTTCCTCTTTTTCTTTCAAAAAACAAACTTAAACTAAGGAAAACAATGGAGGAGAAAAGGTACATGTAACTGGTAATATATACTATATTAATTAAAAGGTTGTATATGGTTTCAAACAATTGAACTTATGATAGTTTTAAAAAGCATACATACAGAAAAACCTTAGAATTGGAGTCCACACAAAAATCACTTGCCTTTGTACATTTCTAGGAATCAATGGTGATGAAAGTTTCTTAGCAATTAAGGTTTGTAATTACATTGTACTAAATCAGGTGGGGAGCAACACTGTTTCACACTGTGCAATATAAACTTGATCATGGGTCATACAACACGTAAGGCTGTTTTTCGTTGCAGTTCAAATATATCTGCACTAGTACAAATGCATCAAATTCTTGTTTAATTTTGGTCTAGATTTTACTTTATTCTGCTTTATGTTTTAATTTACTTCATTTGTATCGCAATCAAACAAAATAAGCTAAAATTTGAAACAAAAATAGGTTAGAATCTACACTCAATTCATTTGCACTGTCAAAGTTTTGCATCAATACAAATTTATTTTCGTTGCAACCAAACACAGCCTAAAAGTGTAAAATACATGTAAAATCCTTGTGATTAATTGTTCTTATTCTCCTCTCCTTGACTCCTTTCTATTTCAGAATTCTTGGCCATATTCAAGTCTCACTTGACCTTGACTGAAGGAATAATTCAACCGTTAAAATTGATTATTATAATAGAAATTAGCTACGTGTTTGGCATGTTCATTGCCAGCCTGTTCCAAGACGTTATCACAGATATTGAATGTGTTGGGCCCACCCGGCCTAAGGATGCAAAAGCATCCAGCTTCCAGCTGAATTATTCTTCCACTATGGTCTGTAGCTCATAGCTTCATTGCACCAAAGAAATAACTGAACAGAAAAATTTTAATTTCAAAAATGAAATACTAATGATCCATCAATCTAGACTGTCCAATCAAATAGATGTTGCACCTGCACTTCAGCAATTTATGTCCATCTCGAACAATGAAGTACTCGATGCATATTGTACTACACAAACATTAAGGGCCCATTTTGATTTGCAGTTGAAATTAAAATTGGAATCGTAATCGAAATTTTTTGGAATTGGAATCGGAATGATTCATTCTCATAATTTATTTAATTTAGACAAAAATGAGAATAGAAATTAAAATTAACAGGAATAAAAATTAAAATCAGCATTTCATTCCCAAAGGTAGGCAGGGAATGAAAGTACTAACTCAGGAAGAGTCATAGTCACATACTCTCCTACCAAAACAATGATATACCCAATGCCTTTTTATCCTACATCAAATATACGTTGAGGAGTAGTAGAAAACTACCCTCCATGGGCCTCATAATTAACCCATTGAAGCAGCCACGTTAGTAGCTTCAATTCTTTCTCCTATTGATAAAACAAAACTGCCTAGAATTAGGTACTTATGATTTAATATGTCCTAATAAAGTAAAACTGTAACTCTGAACAACAACAAGAAGAAGAATATTCAGAAAAGAACTTTGATTAAAATATTAAAACAAGAGAAAAGTATAATACAATAAATTAAAGTTTGTGGTAAGGATATAATATATATCAGCAATACCGAGAACAATAGAGACCACTATATGTGATAAGGAGGAGGATGTATCAAGAAAATAGTTAAAGGGAATCCCATGTGAAAAAAAAAGGAAAAAAGATGAAAGAAAATAAAAAAAATTGGCGAAATACTTATTTTTATATGCATATACGTATATTTAGAAGAAAAAACAATAACAGAAGAACAGCGAGAGAGAGAGAGAGAGAGAGGAAAACAAGTGTATAAACTGTAAAGCCGATTTTATAGATGAAGCATCAAAAGAACTCAGAGAAAGCAGAAATACTACAAACATTTGAATAGTGCAAAACTGGATTATTTTCTCTTACGTAAATAGAACTACTGACCTCCATTGAGCCATAGAAGAAGAGGTTTCTTCTGAGGATGGCTTGTTGCTTCAAAAAACCAGTAGAACAGTGCCTTTCCATGAATCCCATCAACCGGAATATACCCAGCATATTGTCGGAATTTCACAGGAGGCTGGCCGGGAAGTCTGATTACTTTATCTGCTTCTTGTTGTGCTAAGATGTCATGGCTGAGCTTACCCGGTTCTGACCGAGCCAAAGCTGCAGAAACGAAGGTAAGGACGAAAAGAAGGAAGACAAAATAGTGTGACGATAAAGCCATGATGGGTGCCTCCTCTCCACTCTCGCTCTTCCTCGCTTTCTCTCTTTGGGTAGACTTCAGTTAGTTATTTATATAAGGGTTTTGTGACAGATAAGTTACTTATTTAATAAAACTTTTTATCATATTAGAACTTTTTCCTTTTACCGTGAGATTTTCTCCTTCCTTTTCGGAGTCTCCTCACAAAATAATGAAAAGATCTTTTCTGTTAATTAGGGTTGCAACTTGCAATTGAATGAATCGGCTTGAATAGGACATACCTAGATCAAAATTTGATTCGCTGATATTTGAATTCAAATTGAATGCCATCCATCGGATTTAGATCAAACGATTTTGATATATATTAATTGAATACAATTACTCACTTAACTAAAAATAATAAAATTATTATACATTATTAATAAAATAAACTAAAATGATTTTCTTATTAGTTATTATATATACATATTAGTTTTACATCCCCTTCTTCCATTACTCTCTCTCCTTTATGCCTTACCCCTTCCCTACCCTCTCATTCACTCTCTCTAATTTTTCCTTTTCCCCAACCCAACATCCTGTTGAGCCACGTGGCAAGGCTTTATCTATTATTAACTCAAATCGTGTTTTCCATTATTTACGACTGAAATCCTTGTTCATTAATTATTATGTACTAATAATTTTAGTAATTAACAAATAATGTAAGGGTTTTTTTAAGAGTTATTGTTTGTTAATAATTCAGATTAGCTGAAATATTTGTTCAGTAATTACTTTTATTAATAATTATTGATAGTTTATTAATATTTTAAACATTCATAAATTAAATAATAATTTCCTAGTAATTAAAAAACAATTTATTTGATATTTTCAATAATTTTCAAAAAATAATTTCATTAAAAAATCACTAAACTTTCAGCAATTAAACAACAATTTAAAGTTTCAGTAATTTATTCTTAACATTTTCAATAACTATATTTATAATTACCAATTTAATTATTGGTAATGTACATTGGTTTTTGGTCATTGTTAGATTGCGTAAGTATAAATAATTCTTAAATTAGAAAATTACTGAAGCAAAAAATTATTAAATTGGAAAATATTAATAATTACTAATGTTGTTGTAATTGGGAAATTTTAATTACTGATATCATTATATAAGAATATTAATATTACATAACTTTCATAAAATTCTTACCTTAAAATTTCAGTAGTTTTCAGAAAATTATTTTCCATATCTAATTATTAAATTGGAAAATTTAATAATTTCCAAAATTATTGATATTATTATATGAAATATTAATGAAAATTTCAATAATAACAGATATTATTATATGAAAATATTAATAACCTTCCATAATTTTAAGAAAATTATTTCCTAAAAATTTCACTAATTTTCAGAATATTGTTTTCCCTAATTAATTACTGAATATGTTAAACTAGAAAATTATTGAATCAGAAAATTTTTAATAATTCGGATCTAAAATATTTGTTCACTAATTACTCTTTGTTAATAATTATTGAAAGTTTATTGATATTTTAAACTTTCATTCATTTCCAATAATTTCTAACAACAATTATTAGATACTTTCAATAATTTCAAAAAACATATAGTTTCACAAATTTATTCTTTACATTTACAGTAGGTATATTTATAAATTTTCAATTTAATATTTACCAATTTAATTATTGATAATGTACATTAGTTTTTGGTAATTATTAGATTGGTAAATATTAATAATTCTTCAATTGGAAAATTATCGAATCAAAAAATTATCAAATTGGAAAATAATAATAATTGATAAAATTAACATAAATGGGAAATTTTAATTACTGATATTATTATAAGAAAGTGCTAATACTTTTCCATAACGTTCAGAAAATTCTTATGTTAAAATTTTAGTAATTTTCGGAAGATTATTTTCCATAATGAATTATTAAATCGTAAAGTATTTATACTTTTCTGAAAGTTATTTTAAATAATTAATTGTCGAATTGGAGAATATTTTTTAAATTGGAATATATTAACAACTACTGATATTTCTAAATGGATAATATTAATAATTTTCAGAAAATTATTTTCCATAAATAATTATTATATTGGAAATTATTATTAAAATGGAAAAATATTAATAACTGCTGATATAATAATTGGAACATATTAATTATTACTGATGCTATTAAATTGGAAAATTTTAAAATTTTCCATAATTATTGATATTATTATATGCATATATTAATGAATTTTGAATAATTACAGATACTATTATATGAAAATATTAATAAGTTTCCAATAATTTTAAGAAAATTAATTCCTAAAAATTTCAGTAATTTTCAGAATACTTTTTCTCAAATTAATTAATTAATTGGAAAATATCTGTAACTAATTATTATATTTTACGAAAATTTTCATTACTTCCATACTAGTTTAATCTTATTATATCTAATTAATTAAATATTATTATTATTATTATCTAAAATTGATATTTATTAACTTAAATTTTCAGTAATTTTCAGAAATTTATTTTCCACAATTAATTACTAGTAATTTACATTTTTTGTTATTATTAAATTGGAACATTATTGGAGATTCTTAATATTTTTTGAAATTTATTAAATTTTAATTTATTGGTAATTCGAAAATTATTAAACTGCAATATTTTAATAATTCCAATGGTTAATTATTGGTATATTACATTGTTTTGATAATTATTTAAATGGAAAATTATTTGAGAATTTTATTATTGATAATTTATACTTGGTAGTTATTAACAATTTCCATAATTATTGCTAATATACATTTGTTTTTGGTAATTACTGGGAAAGTTTAATTTAAATTATTTCCATAAACTAATTTCTTGTTTTTGGTAATTTAATTTAGTGAAATTTAATTTTAATGAAAATATTCTTAATTACTGATATTTATTTTATGAAAATATTAATGAGAATTTTTAGTGAAAATATTACTGATATTTAATAGTTCATTATTGATTTTTTATTATTATATGAAATTAATTAAATATTATTATTATTATCTGAAATTTACAATAATTATTTTCTTAAAACAATTTTAATTAGTTATTAAAATATTAATTTATTCTGACATTTTCAATAATTAATTATTTATAAATACAAAAAATTGAAAACTACTTTATTCATATCAATGATCTTTAATATTCTTTTTCTAATTTTCTTACTAAAAAATTACTGATTTTGGAAATTTTGTGAAAGTTAAATTACAAAGTTTCCAATTATTTAAATAAATAATTAGAAATTTTTAATAATTTCTATAATTATCATATTGGTTACTATATTTATAATTGTCATAGTTCTTGGAACAAATTTTAAAGCCTAACATCTTCTTCCTGTGCTTCTACCAATAAAAACATCCTTTTCCATGAATCACATGGGCCTGCTAGTAGATTAAACAAATAGCATTTCGGGTGGTATTGGATCACATCCACACTCACTGTACTATCAGCACGGGTGCATGCAATTCGGGTTGGCTCCAGTTAACATTTTACACTGATCCTGGGTTGGGCCTATTCAAATTTTGACAAAAAAAACTGCACCCAAAACCACCCAAGTTGCACCCCTTATCTTAATAAATGACCTAAAATGATCAATACCACTTTTAGGGTGGAATACCTACTAATTTGAGCCAAACCACATAATTCAGTTCAGGGAATGCCTGGCTAAATAGACCTAGCCAAACACCCCTCATCTTAACAATGATCCAAAATGATCATTACCTCACCTTGGAATATCCACCAATCTGAGCCAAACTACATAATTCAGTTCAGGGAATGCCTTGTCAAACAGACCTGCCTAACCTTCTCTCTCACTCTCAGATTTGTTGCATTGGCTAATAACTCCTGATTTAATATATTTGAAATTCTTTTTGCAAGGACTGGCTACGAAGGGACAAAAGAAAAAATCATGCTTCAGAATAATGTATTATTGACTGATCATGTGTAGTTAGTTTGAATAAAGTTCGAACAGCATTGTTTGAGTAGTATAACAGCTATAACCTTTTGACTTGTAGCGAAATCGACATATATAAAACATTTTTGTATTTTATGAGACAGATAAGCATTGGAGACAATGTTTAAATAAAAGAGGAAGAGATTATAATAGATTTATTAAACCGACCAGAGGTTTAGAAAAAGTTCAGATTAGTCCTCGTGGAAATATTTTCTCTTGAGGTAGTTCTCTCTCATCCAAGTTATCCAGCTCCATTGCCCGAGAGATGGAGGCTGTGTTTGGCATGAATTGATTCTAATGAATTTTAGGATTTTAAAATTTATTTTTGAATTTGAAAAACTATTGAAAGTAATTCTATTCGAGTAGAGGTGGACGAATAATAGTAGATGAAGTGTCCTAATGATCTGAACGAATTGTACTGAATTCGATAATTTTCACACGAAATGGGATTTTGTTTTCACAAGACTATATTCACACCGGTTGCACAGCTCCTTGTAGCCTTGCATTAAGCATTAAGAATATCTCTCCATGAAAAAAAATCATACAAGTAAAATCAATTTTAAACTGGTCTAAAATATAGAAGTAAAATATTTCAAATAAAGTGGGGTTCGCTAATATCCCCTTCGTCTTTCACGTTGAGACAAGTTCCTGTGTTTTTTCCTTTTCCTTTCATCTTTCCTTCATCGAGTTTCGTCTCTCCCGTTTCTTCTCAACTTCGATAAAAAAACAAATAGAGCTTCTACTTAATCCGAAGGGTTTTTGGGTTTTGATTCTTGTGAGTATAAATAGGGTTTTGATTGAAGAGAGACAATAAATGGATTCAAACATTTTACATCGTCAGTCGTCAGCTCAATTGAGACAAGGAATTGCTTCTACCGATTGAAAGAGAAGTTCGTTGAAGTTAAGAATCACTTTAATTTGTTCTACAACAATAAGGTACTCACATATATATTATTTTGACTGTTTTGAGTTTAATTTATTAATGCTATTAAATATGCAACTGTAATCTGAATTCAAGTTGAACCCAATGTAAATCCAACAAATAAGATTCAATAAATGAATCGA